TCTGGTACTGTGATGAAATGACCTGTATATATATGACTTTGTATGCATCACTGTTTTTAGTTGAAGTCTCACTTTTGTCACCCAGGCTGGAGTGCAGCGGCATGCTCACAGCCATCACAGCCTGCTGGACTTAGGCGATCCTTCTGTCTCAAACTTCCAAGTAGCCCTGGGACTACAGATGTAAGCCACCACACCTGGCTAGTTTTTGTGATTTATTGTAGAGACGAAGTCTCACCAAGTTGCCCAGACTGGTCTTGAGCCTGCGGGCTCAAGCAATCCTCTCACCTCGGCCTCCCGAAGTGCTGGGATTACAGGCTAAGCCATTGCACCCGGCCCTTTTTTCTTTTTCTTGCTATTTTTTTTTTCCCCTCAAGAGCTGGTGCCACAGTATCTTTTTCTTTGAGACAGCTAATTTAAAAAAAAATTTTTTTGTAGAGATAGGTTCTTACTAGGAAGCCCAGGCTGGTCTTGAACTTTTGGCCTTAGGAAATCCTCCTGCCTAGGCCTCCCAAAGTGCCGAGCCACTATGTCCGGTCAATTTTCCAAATTGCCTATGAATTTTTATCACTTTAGATTCAGAAAAATGAAGTCCTATCAGTTTTTTGAGACCCATATAAAATGCCACTAGCTTTTATGATTATTTTCTAATCTTTGCCCCAATAGTAAATAGTTTTGTTTTTGTTTTTGAGTCAGAGTCGCACTCTGTCCCCCAGGCTTGAGTGCAGTGGCACACTCACAGCCACCCCAGCCTCGACCTGCTGGGCTCAGGTGATATTTTCACCTCAGCCTTCCAAACAGCTGAAACCACAAGCGATGCCACTGTGCTAGGATAATTTTTTTTTTTTAATTTATTATAGAGACGAGGTCTTGCCAGGCTGTTCTTGAACCTGTGGGCTCAGGCAATCCTCTCACCTCCACCTCCCAAAGTGCTGGGATTACAGGTTTGAGCCACCACTCCTGGCACTAGTATATTATTTTGTCTCTCTTCATAACACCTCCCTGTGACATCCTTATTCTGCCTTTTCTATCTCCTCCTGCCCAAGATAAAGAGTAAATCATCTGTGTGTCTTTGTAATACATGATCTATAATATGACTTGGTCACTCATAGACCCCAAATTTCTGCTGCTTCTTTTTTCCCCTCATGACAAGCCTCAGCATCTCTAAAGAAGACTGACTTTCCAGTGCGATACACACTGAGATTCTTGGACCAACAGGAAGAAATGGAAAAATAGAGGAGGAGGAAGAGAAGAAGGTGTCAAAATAAAAAAAATTATAGCAACAAATCTCTAAATGTAAAACATTTTGTTTGGGAAGCAAGAATTGCAGTCCCAAAGAACAAAGAGAAGGCTGGAGGTTTTATAAAAAGGAGAAATGTCACATACTGTTCTGAGACAAAGTTCACGGCACTAGTAAGGCTCTGGGGAGCTGGCGCTGGTGGAGGGTCAGACTGGTCCTAGAGCCACAGGGGCCTGCTTTAGGACCCATTAGATAAAACAGGCTTGGGTCATAGCAGGCAGTACCAGCAGGCAGGCTTAAGAAGTGCATTTTGGGAATCATGTTAGGTGCCTGAGTGCTTCCCCACCCCGCCCCACCCCCCCGGCCTTGTCATAGGGTTGACATGATTGGGTATGACAAGAACAACTCAATTTCTATGATCAACTTTCACAAGGGGCAAGTCATACATACATGATTAATAACCAAGAGAGGGTCTGTAGGTGCTTGGGGGCTGGTTGGCATCGTTCTCCTCCTCCAAAACCTCCTGTGCAACCAGTTCAGGGCTTGACCATGACTTTGAATCAACTCCTGTAGGTATTTTTCACACATGGTGCCTTGAAACATCCTCATCCAAGCCAAATTCAGGATTTGCACAAGCTCACGCGGGTAGAAGAAGAGCCATTTCCTTTCCCTGTGGCCAAAGCTACTGTCCTGAGAGAGCATGAACAGGCTTTTTGGGAATTCGCGATGGGCCTGAATGCATATTGTGTGTGAATATGAACACACAGTGTGCATTCCACCAGGTTGGTCCAGAAGTGGCAGAAATTGATAGACAAAGAGTTCAAATGACATGAAGCACCATAGGTATAAGGAAAGCAGCTTAGCAAAGGGAGAAGGAACTGGACCTGGGAACACTAAGCCCCAGCTCCACATTTACTGTGCAAAGATCTCTGAGGCTGGGCATGGTGGCTCATGCCTGTAATCCCAAGCACTTTGGGAGGCCACGGTGGGAGGATTGTTTGAGTCCAGGAGTTTGAGACCAGCCTGGGCAACATAGCACAACCCCTCTACAAAACATAAACAAATTAGCCGGATGTGGTGGCGCATGCCTATAGCACAGCTACTTGGGAGGCTAAGACTGAACGATCGCCTGAGTCTAGGAAGCTGAGGCTTCAGTGAGCTGTGATTGTGCCACTCCACTCCAGCCTGGGAGACAGAATGAAACCTTAATTTAAAAAAAAAAATCTCTGAGACTTGGTTTCCTCGTCTAGAAAATGAAGATGACACCTGCCTTACAACTGATGAGGATTAAATGATGAGCAGATGGTGGTAAAGGAAAAAGCTCACAAAATAAAAAATAACACCATACTTTTTTTTTTAGTTTGTGGGGGGAAAAAATCACGAATTATTCTATTTTTAATTAATTACTTAATTTTTTTGAGTTGGAGTCTCACTGTCACCCAGGTTGGAGTGCAGTTCTCACGGCCATCACAGCCTAGACCTCCTGGGTTCAGACGATCCTTCTACCTCAGCCTTCCAAGTAGCTGGAACCACAGGCATGTGCCACCAGGCCTGGTTAATTTTTTTGATTTAATGTAGAGATGAGGTCTCGCCAAGTTACCCAGGCTGATCTTGAACCCCTGGGCTCCGGCAATCGTCTTGCCTCAGCCTCCCAAAATCCTGGGATTTCAGGCATGAGCCACTGCACCTGGCTAAGAATTGCTTTATTAATAGAGAACTCTGAGAACACAGAACATGATAATCATAAATTATTTTTCCCTTTAAATACTATTAACATTTAAGAAAAATTAAGCTTATTGTGGAACTAATTATATCAAGTGGTACAAATATTAAATCATTTACTTTCACATTTGTCATTGTTAAAGTCACTTATGTAATTCATCTCAGTAATCTTTTACCAGCTTTTTTTTGCACCAATACTCCATATTTTGACCAAAACAACAATCCTGGGAGGAAGTGCAAAATGCAAATTCAAAGGACTGAAAAAATGCTGAATAAACAGGATTAATACACAAAAATATTTATTTCACTAAACTAGCAACAGGTGATGTTCTCCATGTCGGTAACCCTTGGGAACCATATAGCTGATCGGTGAAATTTAGTCCATGCCAGCTTCCAGAAACCAGAACAAATTTTAGTTAGCTTCATCCTTTGATGCCTTATCAAAATTTTCTACAAGATATGGTTTATCCTCCTCCTCACCAATGTCTTCTGGCTTGGTGCTCTGTTCTCCAAGACTTGATCGGGCACTGTCCAGTCAACTTCCAGAGGCTTGTTGAGTCACCAGCACCAAGCTGCCTTAGCATTCCAGGAAGCACTTCTGTGACTGGCTTGATTTCTGTGTGACCGGCAATTGCAACAGCGTAACAGAAAGGGAAGCTTGGACTTTGAGACAGTTGAAAGGAGTGCTTGTCCCATCACTTTCAACCACATTCACGAACTCTTCAGTGCCAGCTATGTTATTAACAACCAGTGTTTCCAGAAAACCTGAAGCTTTCTGTCATCAGCTATGGCTGCTCTGTTTATCACCTTCTCCTTTGCATGAGCAACACCTTGCTCCCTGCCCTCCCTCCACTCACCCAC